GAAGCTTAAAGCGGGTCACCTCCACACACACACACACACACACACACACACACACACACACACACACACACACACACACACACACACACACACACACACACACACACACACACACACACACACACACACACACACACACACACACACACACACACACACACACAGTGGTTTCTGCCTGACAGGAAGGACGAATGATGACAGAATACAGGCTCTTTCAGGACAAGATGGGGAAATATGTCCACTATGTCAAACAACTGAAAAGATTATTTCCTGATTTTTATGTGTTGCTTTCAATATATGAGACAGCTTAGTTGAATGCTTGATTCTCATTGGTCAATTTGGGCATTTTAGAGGTTGTTAATTCTCACTAACAGACTGCTGGAGGATGAAGGGACTGTGTGCAGTCGTCGGCAGAAAGAAGTCCGGTCACTTTAACGCAGTGGTTCTCAAAGTGGGGGGCGCGCCCCCCCTGGGGGGCGCAGAGGCATGCCAGGGGGGGCGCGAGAGACCAGGAGGAAAAATGGTTATTACATTTTTTTTTTTAAAAAGATTAATAAAAAAAAATCATAAATTGAAAAATGATTTATTCGAAAATAATATGATGCAGTACTATTACATCTGGGTCTCTGTGTTTCATTAAAGCTTGGCTCTGTGTGTGTGTGAAACGAGCCATTTTGTGTGCGCGAGAGAGCGCACCGGTACCGGAGATCGTTGTTGTTAGCTTCTGGTGCTAGCGAGCTACGCTAACGGATATAAGGAGTTTTTTCAACAACAAAGTGGAGGAGAGCTCTCCTGTCAGACTGAGAGACTCAGTGAACTAAAGGACTCTCTCAGTGTTATCTCAGTGGGTCTCAAACGTTTTGGTCACGATTAATGTAAACAATTATTTCCGAGGCACACGTTTATATGATCATTATAGTTATAAAAAAATAAGAGAATACATGAAAAACAGGTATGAAATACTATATGGCAGTAAAACAAGAATAAAGTTTAAAAGGGTGATTTGTAAAATATCCATAAAGAAAAAGTAAATCTGCTTACAGTTCTGTTTCATCTGGGTGTTGAGAGAGGTATCCATAGATCTCTTCATGTTGCTCTCAAAGTGCACCAGATTGATGCTTTCAACTGCAATATTTAAAAATAAATCTTCCCGGGGGTCCACACACCACCTATAAAAATAGAACTTTACCCCTGCTTACACCTATAAGCCGTGAGCTGATTATCGAGCCTTAATTGTAACTGTCACACTGTGTATATGCGTGTGGATTGTTGCAGTAGAAAATTCCTGAAAATACTGTAGCGCCCGGTCCATTAATGGGAAACCCTAAATGTTTGAGCACCCTCTATGAAACGTCAAGCTACCCCACAGCACCTCCAAAACAAATCTCTGGCGCCGCCACTGAGCCTGACTTGTGTTGGGGGGGCCCGACTTTTTTTTTTCTCCAAAGGGGGGGCCTGACAGAAAAAGTTTGAGAACCACTGCTTTAACGTCAGCTGTGGACAACAAACATTAGAAAACACAGTGGAATACTACATTGAAATCAGCAGCAGAAGAAGAAGATAGACAGGAAGTAAACAGTCGAATAATTAGACGATTATTTTATCCCTCTGGCAGCGTCTCGGTCCAAATGACTCAGTAAACTGGATATTATTGCTCTGTGTAAGAAACTTAATATATTCTAATCATATTTAAATAAGATCCTTTTGTACATAGGCTCAGTTCCACATGAACGGATCATCTGATATCCCGATATCTGCGACATGATCAAAACAGTCAGCGAAACAGTGCTGTTATGTGTCTCTATTCATGGCTTCAGGGTCTGTGCGCCCCGCTTTTATTGCACACAACAGAGCTTTGTCCCGCCACATAGTTATGGGACAGTAATAGTAGGGGAGGGTGGGCACAGGGACACATTCCTCCATAAATAAGTGAGAAGCAAACAGCAGGAGGCCCCGGAGTAATGGATTACATGTAGCAGGATAATCAGGGTGCAGAAAAAGGTGGTAGCCCTCCCAGCCCTTTTCAACTCACTCAGTCAACACTGGCAGCTGTGAAAGACGTTCTCAAGAGATGCAATTCACTCGCAGATCCGCTTGTGACACTCTGGTCATTTTTCTGGCTGGGAATGCTGACAGAGAGGCAGGTTAAACCACCAGGGTGTGACCGTGGGTTTGGTTTAATTATTGCTGAGCGATAGGAGCTCAGGCTGACTGCTGGTTGGTGGTGAAGCTGTCATTGTGAAGGAACTCTGACACTTGGCCTAAAGCACCTCAGAGGCATTTCTTTAGGAGTCTTCAGTCCATGTTGCATATATGTTTTTGGATTATATAGTGTCAAATGTGCAAGTTAAATGTTCAAACTTCCCAGAGTTCCCAAATATGAACCTGGAAATGAACGTAAGGGCCCGTTTAAGGTTAGTTTTCCCAATGGCTGTGCAAAGAAAAAGCAACAATCAAACATTGCTGCCGCTCATTGTGTTGATTTCATCTATCAGAAAAAGCAAAGTAACATTTTTAGTACAACTTATAGCCTACAGCCAAACCCAACATGTTCTGGGAGTTGTAGTAAATGGTTCTGGGAAACGTAGTAAATCACTTAATTATGAAGGAGTAGATGAGACGTACTTTTAGTGACTTCCCAAAGAACCCTTAGGATCGAATGAACATTGCAGATAGCTCATAGCATGAAGCGACCCCTGTGTAATGCCGGGGTGCCTGCCTGCTCACTGTGAGCCTGTTGTGGCTGAGAGCCTGAGCACGTGAGCGTCTGAGAGCAGACAGTGGGTGGAAGCACATTTGTCTCCACGTCTCCCGTCAGCTGCTGTTTGTTCATGCGCTCACACCGACACTTCAATTACATGGCCCACAAACTAGACCATTGATCCCCCACGCTTCTTCTTCTTCTCCTTACATTTAGATCAGGTCACTTACATCAGCAGCTGCAGATAAATGATCTCATGCAGCCCGTCCCTTTCTCCTTTACATATGGACTACAGATGAGTACTGATGTGTTTGCACACTATATGAAGCCGGCGAAGCTTGTTTGCTTTCCGTCAGACGAACTAGACACTGTACAACAAAGCAGAGTGTCCTGTGAGGTACTTCATTGGAAACAGGACACACACGGGCCATGTTCAGGCGTTGAATTATGTTGCCGATTACATTTTTTCAAGGCTTTTATTGTCGTGTGCATAGCTACAGTGAAGTTATGACGGTGAAACTCTTAGTTCACAGGCTCCTCCGACAGTGCAACAATAAAACAGATAAAATAGTGCAAGAAAATACAATTTTTGACATACTCGTTATTGTAACCGATTACATTCCTCCCAACCCTGTTCATGACCCATTTGGCTGCCTCTGCTGGGCCTCTGTGCGGGGACAGAGAGTTTAGACAGGCCTGATATAGACTGTGTTTGCATTTACATGCAGCGTACGACCACCGCAAGGTAGCTTTCTGCTGGGTCTGTGTCCTGGAATGCAGTTCTAAATCCCCCTCCCCGTCTATACCGGGGCTTCGGGGGGCCGGGCCAATCTCAAGCCCCCTTTATCCACGTGAGCCACGTCTGGAATCTGTAAGCAAGCCGATTCTCCAGCAGCTCCGGCAGTGTGTGTGTGTGTGTGTGTTGATTCCCAAGTTGCAATGGAGGAGGAAATAGCAGATGAAGACAAAGATTGTGGGGAAGGTAAGAAGCTTTCTGACGTGCCGCTCGCACAGTCATTCTGATTCGTGATTCTGCCGGCTGAGTGTGATTCGGTTAGCTGTTTGTGAGTTAAAAATAGGTTTGGAAGTACATGAGAGTACTCCGGCTCTGGTGGGGGTTGCTGGTGGGCTTGATTATGACGCACCACCACTTATTTTATTTTCAGAAAATAGGCCGGCTTTTTGTGTTTTCATATAAAAGTCTGCAGGTGAAAAGAGAAATCATAGAAGCTGAATCCTCTGCAGCTGCTCAGGATTTGTTCCCCCCCCAAGTTGTTGTTAAAGCTACTCCTCTGTGAGTCCTAACATGTCTTTGAGACGCAAACAAGAAATTCGTTTTTCATCTGCGGCTCACAGCATGCTTTTAAAGCTTTCAAGAGAAGAAAGGCCATATTAAACTCGCCTCAAATAATAGTAAATCGCTTGAAATCCATCTTCAGTTTTCAAAGGGGTGAGAGATCCTTTATTATCTGCCGTTACTCACTGAAAATACACGTCAAAGCTCTACCTGCACGCATCGGAAACAAGTCAGCCTACCCTTCTGTTTTAAGCACTTATAAGGGAGGACTCTGTGGGTTAGGAACAATGTACTCCTTCAAATACTTACCATTGACTGTAGAATAAGACACTCAAATATATCATTATAGTTATCACAGATTTTTCTGTATTCCTGAGGTTTGATTTAAAATGTCCCTATTATGCTCATTGTAGGTTCACTGTGACATGTCTCCATGCTTTAATGTTCAAAAAGCGCTTTATTTTTCTCATCCTACCTTCTCACCCTCTGTCTGAAACCAGATAATTAGAATATCATTTTGTGCACTTTCTTCTCTATCTCAAAGTCTGGATTTACAAACAGATGCCATGCATATCTTTTCTGAGTTGCTCCATGTGTGTCTCCTTACATTATTGGACGTCTTTGCCTTTTTTCTATTAAGGTAGAAGTCTGAACAGCTGTTTCAATTCAGTGTTTTCTCCACCAATATTCTGTCTGGCACATTAAAGTGTGGGTTTACTGCTGGAATTTAAAACAGCATGAATATATAAAGAAATATGCGTATCAGACACGGGTTATCGTAGTATATGAGTTCGGCGTGAGTGGTCTCCTTACTTTCTCACATGGAGTGTGTTACAGTTACAGTTCATTACTTCCGTTTTGCCACAGTTTCAGGTCTCATAATGGTGTGATCTGCCCTGTTGTGTCCTCTTCATGACAACATACAGGCACGCACCTGCAGTTTATGTCAAAACATCAACACGACACATGTGTTTGACCCCGTGTTCCTCTGTTCCCCCTCAGAACAAACCAAAAGCAACCTGAAGGTAACGTCTCCGGAGGACGGGCAGCACGTCAGCCGCAGACAGGTGCCCCCAAATGGGACAAAAGGGGACGCTAAAGGCAGCCGGACCGTCCCACGCAGACACACTTTAGGCGGGGCCAGAGGCTCCCGGGAGATCCTGGCTATGCAGCCGCCGGAAATGGACAAGAAGAGGGAGGCCTTCCTGGAGCATCTGAAGCAGAAATACCCCCATCATGCATCAGCCATCATGGGCCACCAGGAGAGGCTGAGAGAGCAGGTCAGTGGGGGGGAGAGACCGGGTTTATGCACAATATTTGAAACTTTAAACGACATAAATATACAGTGTATATGACATGAATATGTGTTGCATGAATACATTAGTGGTTCTAGCCTAGTCTAGGATTTTACCGGGGTATCTCTGTGTGGGACACTGCGATGCTAAGAGGTAGCTTAGATTTCAATATGATGTCCTTTTAACTTTTAAAAATAAACATTTCTATTAGAACTATTCGCTTAAATATATTGACAAATGCTCATCTATTTTGCAATGGAGGATATTTATCGTTTAAGATTTAAAACATTACATTTTTTGATACAAATATATAGATTGTTTCACTTTCAACGAATATTACAACACTAAAATGAACTTTAAGGAGTGTTTTAGCATCTTCAAGTGCTTTTCTTTTTCTTTTCGGCCATCCACCGTGTTTTCAGATCGAAGCAGCTATTTTTAGTGTCAGAACATCCAAATATATAAAGTGGTTTCGGATGATGGCGGTGGTGGCGAAGTCCATAGGGACTTGGCTTGGCAACTGGAAGGTCACCAGTTCAAGTCCTGGAAAGTGCTACCGAGGTGTCCCTGAGCAAGGCACCGTTCCCTACACTGCTCCCCGGGCGCCGTTCATAATGGCAGCACACTGCTCCTAACACTAGGATGGGTCAAATGCAGAGAAACCATTTAGTTACATAGTACCTGTAATGACAATAAGTTGAATCTTATCTTATCTTATGTGTAAATATGCAACTAGATTATTACATGTCACTTTCAACAGGTGTTTTCAGGGGCCAAAACATGTATTAAATAACTTTCAGCAGAAAATAAATGCTGTTTAACAATCTATAAAGTCCTCTTACTCTTTCCTTTCATTTGGTAACTTTGAGGCATTGTTATTTCCTTCTGCAGACTGACGCAACAGAGATATTGCAAAACGATTTTCTCCTCTCTTCTTTTTGTGCCTCAGGTTAAATGTGAAATCTACCCTATAAATCTGCCTGTCTCGTTCCCCTCCCACAGCTGCTGTGAAGCTGGGGTGCTGGGGTGCAGCAGTTGAAAACCTGTTTGGAGCATGTTTGGATCTCCATAATTGGACTTTGCTTATAGCTCCAACCAGTGTGTGTATACCAGGCTTCAGTATACATGTCTCAGGGTTGTTTTGGAGCTTTTTACTGATTATAAATTCTCCAAGCTGACGGGGGAGGGCGACCCAGAGGGAGTCACGTCAACCTGGCTCACCTGGTCATTGTCTTTGTGTTTGCTCTGGGTCAGAGGAGACGAGAGGGGAAGGGCATGCTGGGCTTTGTGGCCAAAACAATCGAGGTAATGGTGAGCCTGGCACCGAGCCACAGGGAGCTGATGCAGAGGGACAAGACGCATTGTGGAGGAAAGAGTGAGGTGCATACATGTGAAGGGAAGCCTCCTCATGAGCATTTGAATAGGTAGTAGAAGTCAGCAGGGAGGGTGCTGTGTGTGTGTGTGTGTGTGTGTGTGTGTGTGTGTGTGTGTGTGTGTGTGTGTGTGTGTGTGTGTGTGTGTGTGTGTGTGGTCTAGCATTACTATACTTGTGGGGACCTAAATCTGTTTACATAGTCACGTGTGGGGACTGGCTTCCCTTATGGGGACAAATTGGAGGTCCCCATAAGGGGAATCATTAATTTTAGGGTGAAGACTTGGTTAGGGTTAGGCATGTGTTGGTTATGGTTAAGGTTAGGATAAGTCTCCAGGAAATGCATGTAAGTCAATGTAATGTCCCCTGAAGTGATGTGTGTGTGTGTGTGTGTGTGTGTGTGTGTGTGTGTGTGTGTGTGTGTGTGTGTGTGTGTGTGTGTGTGTGTGTGTGTGTGTGTGTGTGTGTGTGTGTGTGTGTGTGTGTGTGTGTGTGTGTGTGTGTGTGTGTGTGTGTGTTGGAGGTACTTGTACATCAGAAATGTGCCTTACATAGTGCATACATAAAACTTAAAGGAGATAAATTGTTAGAAAAACAACCAAGAAACGACAACAAGTATAGAGAAATATTTACATAAAATATCCCAAAAATGTTTTACGAAAAGAGGAAAGCTGTACAGATATAAGAAGGTAGCTTTGTAGATGTTTTATTTTATGATTTAGACGCTGCATCTTACCGTTTTTATGGTAAATAGAGGAAGGAAGGTGTTGTTGAGAGGCTGCAGGTAGTCAGACAGGTAAGTTCAGCTCCAGGATTTGGGGTGGAGTCAGAGTTGCCATGGTGACTGGTGATGATGTCACCGCTGGAGGGGCTCAGTTTACGTGTGAGTGCTTGCTGGAGCGCGAGCAGAAAGAGAGGGAGAGAGGCAGAGCTGTGTGAGGAGGATCGCTGCTCTGCAGATGGATCTGAACGCTGTCCGGAGGCATGGCTGCAAACGGGAATAAGAGATAAAGTTTGCACTCAGACGGAATAAAACTCACATCGGTGGCTTTTGTGTAGACGCAGTAAAAGGTAAGAGACTTTTGGAGCGCTTTTACGCAGCGAAATCCCTCATGTTCAAACTGTTGTTGCGCTTTTCAATGCAAAGAGTACGAGGGAGGGTTTGTTCTGCAGGTGCTGCAAACTTCCAGGAGGCGACTGCAAAAGTTGGCGCACGACTTTTATCGGTTACAAAAACAAGTCTTTACGCGCAAACGATTTTCTTTTGGTCCCCTCATGTTTGGTTGAATGAACACCGTGTAGTTGTCTGCAGTAAATCTTCTTTAAAGTACAATCACCTAGCAGCAGCTGCCTATAATCTGACCGAAAATGCGTAGTGTATTTTCATTACCATAGAGTAGACTATATCGGTATTACGCTCAAATGCAAAGCAGGGTTTCTCTTGTGGACGGAAGTGAAGGAGTATCATAACAGCGTGCTGGATCATGCAGGATATCAGAGGTGGATTTAGTGAGTTGTTGCTGTTATTACTGATTCTGTACGATTTTACAAGGCGTCATGTTAGACAAAAAGTAATTTTTTTGGTCTGAGTAATTCAATAGTATCTTAAAAATACGATGGAGAATGACTTGTGGATCAATAGCTCCTGTTGGATTTCAGTTCTATCTATATTTTAACTCTTATTCTTGGCATGGGAGGCGTGTGGCGCAGTGGGTTGTGCGTTGGTGTTCAGGTTCAAACCCCGCGGCTGCAGTCAGCATGTCGTTGTGTCCCTGAGACACTTCACCCCAAAATTGCACCTGTGGGGATTGCTCACAGACTGTAAGGGTAAGGGTGACACGAATGCATCAGGTGTAGACTTTGTTATTTACTGACTTTTTTTAAAAAGGTTTGACATTTTTGTGGGACTATATTTAATCATACATCCTTTGGTGTGTCCAGGATTGTTGGATTTGTACAGTATGACTGTAAGAAGCAACAACTGTTGTGTGAACTTGAATAGAAAATTATGTTTCAGTCATTCTGGCTTCATAAATACATGTATCTTAGCCTCCCTATTATCAGGTTGGACACTGCGTCCTTATTGGTAAAGTTGTACTCCAATTTTAAAACAGTTTGTAGATCCTCTCTCAGCTGCTGAAATAAATCAAGGAGATAAATCTGATCTGCTGGTGATGATTTTTAGTTTGTACGACATGACACTCTTAGATTGATTTGGAGGATGAAACTCCTCATATGTTATTCAGATGTTGCGAGTGAGATAGGAGTGATGATGGTTCCTGAATGCATCATGACAGAAAGCAGGCTGGTTTGGATTTACTGGCAAATGTTAGTGCTGATGAATGAATACAAAGATGATTGAAGAGCGTCATCTAATGCAGGAGGAATGCAATCATTCAAAATGGGAAATGAAATTGAACAAAACAAAAATGGCAAGATTATTGAAGCGTTTGTCATGTGGTGTCCTGGGGGAGGGTTAGCTTTTCTGTCAAGAAAACACACAAGTCAAATATACAACGCAGGATGAATTAGCTACGGTTCTCACGCTGAAAAAGTGCAGAACAAAACCGGAAAGACGACGTCACCAAAATGCCTGAGAGGTGAGGAAGAAGCTCTCCGGAGGTTTGAGTTACAAAGGCGCATATTTATCAAGGTCAAGCGGAGGTTTGGAAGATAATATCACTTCAGTCTGAAAAGTGGATGGCCCCCACTCCACCCAGCATGACTGCACACACACACACACACACACACACACACACACACACACACACACACACACACACACACACACACACACACACACACACACACACACACACACACACACACACACACTGAATGATGTAGCCTTATATATATGAGGGCCCCCTCAATTCCTGCTCCTCTGATCCTTAAACCTGCAACAAAGGCGAGAAGTTTAATTTCCTCCTCCTGGATCCCACCCAGGGGAGAGGAGATAATATCCCTCCGGCCTGACCGCCACCCATCCTCTCACCCCTCTCTCTCTCACTGCCTACTAACTAACCTGCTTGGATGATCACACACACACACACACACACACACACACACACACACACACACACACACACACACACACACACACACACACACACACACACACGCCTGTATGACTTTCTGGTTTCTGTATAGTGTGAAGCAGCCATGTTAGGACAGTCGTCTGCAGCTGTGGGCAGACAGAAAAACACACAGGCTTTATAATCCATCATTGTGTGTGTGTGTGTGTGTGTGTGTGTGTGTGTGTGTGTGTGTGTGTGTGTGTGTGTGTGTGTGTGTGTGTGTGTGTGTGTGTGTGTGTGTGTGTGTGTGTGTGTGTGTGTGTGTGTGTGTGTGTGTGTGTGTGTGTGTGTGTGTGTGTGTGTGTGTGTGTGTGTGTGTGTGTGTTCCTGTGCAAGTTGCAGGTGCTAACAGGTTAGTTTGCCGGTGGGGTGCCTTGAAGAAAGGTATGCACCAATCAGATGTGGACATTCAGGCTCTGTTGTCAGGAATACAGTCAATTAAGTTGAGTTTTAAAGAATTCACTGCCAAGGATGTTGCAATGGCTGGTCTAGGGTTGGACACTTTACAATATAATTGTTTGTTATCTATTTCTGAT